GGCGAGAAAACAGTCCACTTAGCGTGGATTAGACCGGAAGTGAGGCGTGAGAAATAGGTCCACTCACCTTGTGCTGCTTCCACATGACGGACAGCGGTCTGACGTCATGCTTGGCGTGTTTCCCCTCCTCGAGGCACCGGGTGCACGCGGGGGCCCTGCAGCTGCAGCAGTACATGCCGAAGTTTTCCGCCTCGTGATCCACGCAGGTGGCGGGTTTCCGCGCGGCCACGGGCGGCGGCTGTTGCGCGTTTCCTGCCGCTTTTGCCGCGTTTGCCGCGTCTCCACCGCACGCGGCAGCCGCTCCTTCCGCGCGCGCATGAGGCGGTGGCGGCACGAGGCGGTGTTTGGCCAACGGCCCGCGCGACGGGTGGCACCGCTGCTGGCACGCGCCGCAGTAGTACACGTCGCACTGCTCGCACATCACGGTGGCGTCCGCCGGGTTCCGGTCGCAAAGCTGGCACTTCACCGCTCCGGTACCGCACGCGGCAGTAACGGACGCTTTACCGCACGCGGTAGTAACGGACGCTTTACCGCACGCGGTAGTAACGGACGCGGCGCGGTTTTGCTGGTACCGCGCCACTATGGCCTCCAGTAACCGGTTCCGGGGGAAGCCCCGGAGGCCCCGCTCGTCCAGGGACACGCTCCGGTGGCAGAGCGGGCACGTGAGCGAGCAGTGCCGCTGTGGGTGGGGGGGGCCCGCGTGCCCCGCGTGCGGGAACACGCGCACGCCGTTGGGCGACTTGAGCTGTTGGCACGGCGTGTAGGAACCGTAGCCGCTGTCCGTTTCGCTGTACAGGCTCATCTTGTCCATGTCCATGTAGTCGTAGTCGGAACCGGTGCCCCCCCCACCCCCCCCCAAACCCCCGCGCGCCGCCTGCACGGGGGGCTCCCCCCCACCGTCGTCCGGGGTCTGGACCGTGATGTTGCGCGCGCACGCGAGGCACACGTTGTGGGAGCAGGGCAGCAGCACGGGGTCCCGGAAAAGGGACCCGCACACCGGGCACTTCAGCTCTTCCTCCATCGCTCCCGTCCGAGTGGAGGATGGATGGAGGATTCAGCACCGAGCTGCGGACAGCTCCCAGCCGCGCATGCGCACAAAGGGGGCGGAGCGTGAGGGTTCTGGGGCTGATTTCACGGTCCAGAGGCGCCACAGATCTTGGATTTTCACGCCGTTTGCTCAGGGTTAGTCCCTCCAGTCCCCTAAAATGACTGTGAATAGAAAAAATAAAACATATACAGTATATATTTTATAATCTGGAAAATCTGGCAAAATCAGCAAGGGGTCAAATACTTATTTCCCCCACTGTATTCTATAAAAAAAGCAAAAAGGGCTGATTGATCCGGATGATTTCACGGTCCTGAGGCGCCACAGATCTTGGATTTTCACGCCGTTTGCTCAGGGTTAGTCTCTCTAGTCCCCTAATATCACTGTGAATAGATAAATAAAACACAAACAGTATATATTCTATAAAAAAAGCAAAAAGGGTTGGTTGATCCGGCTGATTTCAGGGTCCTGAGGCACCACAGATCTTGGATTTTCACGCCGTTTGCTCAGAGTTAGTGCCTCTAGTCCCCTAAAATCACTGTAAATATAAAAAATAAAACATATACAGTATATACAGTGGGGGAAATAAGTATTTGACCCCTTGCTGATTTTGCAGGTTTGCCCACTTACAAAGAATGCTTATTTTTCCTCATCAGATGGTTATCAATTTTTATAAATTCATATGATGTGATTTTCTGGAATTTTCTTTGGGATTCTGTCTCTCTCTGTTAGAATGTACATATGATTAAAGTTAGCAAAGCTAGTAAAAGAATTGTGGCAAATTCTGACCAATGGCTGCTCTTGGTGTCCCAAATGAAAATGGATAAGTGACCTTTGGGCTGTCTCCATCACAAAGGTGTTAAATCACTAACCATGACCTGATCAGTGGTGCGTTCAAGGACCCTCCGACCTGATGAGATGGTTCAGGAATCTGTTTAGGACGCCGTCCGGGTGTCCCAGGGGAGATGTTTTCCTCTTTGTGGTTAAGTTGTGGCAGAGGGAGGCCTCAGACCCACAAGATAGATGATTTATTATGTTTTATTATTATGGGGGAGAGGTCTGGGGTCTCCAAACCGGCCTGAAACAGCCGGAAAAATCAAATGGATGGCATTTAAATCCCCCTTTTTTTCTTCTTACAAGCAATAAAAGAGATTAAACTAAACAAAAACTAATCCAGTGCAGCAGAGGAACGAGAATGTATTCAAAAAGCAGGAGTACAGTAGAGATTTAACTCTGAAATGTATTACAAATGTAAAAAAAAAATCTACGTGTTTTAATTGAAGTCACATAAAATGGCCGATTTAATCCAAATCTGTTGGTAAAGAAAAAAAAATTGAACACACGAGGAGAAAAACGCACAAATAAATGGGAGATCTCGGTCGTCATTTCCCCTTTAATTAATAGCAATCTGACAGGAAGTCATTGGAAATTACTGAACCAGCTCAAACTGGGATTTCTCTGCTGGACTTAAGATGCTTTTCCCAGAATAAAAAGACGGTTCACCTCTTTTGTGGCGGTGGACTCTGATACAGACTCAGACAAAAGAGAAAGTCAGGCTCAGATTTAAATTAATCGGCATTGTAATAATCCGGTTTAACATCCAACTGCTCATGTCTCAGAGCTACCACAAGGGGGCGATAATGTCTTTAGTTAAGGTTATCAATTCTAGAAAATACACTTTATTTGGCATAATCGTCTTTATTGAGTTTAATGTGCGATTATCAAACAGGAAACGGAAAACATCTCAGTCCATTTTCTGTCCAGCCATCCCTTTAAATCCGTCTGGTACATATTCCAGACTCCTTTAAGTCACAGACACCCTCCTCAGTGGTAGGAATTCAAAATCAGAAGATGATCTGTGATCATTAATGTAAAATAAACAGGGCTCCATGTGCACGGAAACCTTCAGCCTGTGTCCAGAGGGCAGATTTCCTCCTCCCTCCACAATTATTGGCACCCCTATTTAAGATGTGGTTGAGGATTTCTAAAAATGACGGTGTTCACCTTTTGGTTGAATCTTTCACTTTGTGTTTTGAGTTAATTAGTGATGGAAAAAAAATGAGAAAGTCTCTTGAAAGTGTCTATTTTGTCATTCTTCTTCAACAAACTGCAATAAAGTTGGCTCATTTTTATCTCTTTATTTAGTTTTCACGGTGGATTTGGAGATCCCAAAAGACTTCAAATAAACCCCACTTGAGTCTGCTTGTGCTTAGAGGGAATTGTAATATCATTCTGCTTAATTAGTGATGGAAAAAAAACGAGAAAGTGTCTTGAAAGTGTCTATTTTGTCATTCTTCTTCAACAAACTGCACTTTAAAAGTATGCTAATATCTATCTCCTGATCTTGTTATTGGCAGTAAAGGCACACAGTAGTGTATCATTCACTGCCTCTGACTCAGTCTGAGCCCAGAGGAAACCCGATCCATTTAATTTAATTTGTTGAGCATTTGCTACGGTGTTCAACTTTTGGTTAAATCTTTCAGTCATTGTTACAGAGCTATGCTCACTAACTTTTTTACATTGAGAAGCTGAAATAATGACCGGTGTTCAATGAGTATTATGAGTATTTGTGTTTTGAGTTAATTAGTGATGGAAAAAAAACGAGAAAGTCACTTGAAAGTGTCTATTTTGTCATTCTTCTTCAATAAACTGCATAAAGTTGGCTGATTTTTTAGTTTTTCTCATTTCTCGTGATCTTGTTATTGCCAGTAAAGGCACACAGAGACTTAAAGTGACATCTGTAATAGTTGTTTATACTGTCTTATGCATAATGTTCAAATATTATAATTCTATAATTTGTTATTCTTTTCAAGGGTAGTTGTCTAATTGGAATTTATGTAAGTTGTATTTGTTCTATATTGTATTATTTAGAATAGAGTGGATTTGCTTTTGTTTTGAAGTTTAGAGAGAGCACTTTTATTTTGAAGTCAAGGTAAGTCTTGTTTGAGCTCTCATGTGAGAAGCAACGAAGTTCAAGTTAAGGATTTTTGCAGAAGTTAAGGCTAATGCGTTAATTATTATTTCCAATATTGTTTGTCTCACTGATGTTTGTGTTTGCTAGCTTTATTTAGTTTTCACGGTGGATTTGGAGATCCCAAAAGACTTCAAATAAACCAGTAAAAGAAAACCCACTTGAATCTGCTCGTGCTAAGAGGGAATTATAAAGTCATTCTGCCAACAGTAATGGTGGCCATGATAATGATCCTCATTCACTGTATTTGTACCACCTATCAGTCTGAGCCCAAAGTAAACCCTATTCCCGGCCCCAGAGAGTCCTTCCCCCCCATATCTCTGGCTCACACCAGGGAGGTGGTGCTGTCGGGGTTGACTTTGGGCGGCCGGCTGCTCTTCCTCAGCTCCTGCAGCTGCTTGGCGGGTTTCCCGGAGGCCTCCTGGAAGCGGCGCTCCACCACGGGCAGCACGGCGTCGTGCAGGAAGCTGGCGTTCTGAGAAAGTCTCTTGAAAGTGTCTATTTTGTCATTCTTCTTCAATAAACTGCAATAAAGTTGGCTCATTTTTATCTCGTGATATTGTGAGTTAATTAGTGATGAAAAAAAAACGAGAAAGTCACTTGAAAGTGTCTATTTTGTCATTTTTCTTCAATAAACTGCAATAAAGTTGGCTAATATTTATCTCGTGATCTTGTTTTCACGGTGGATTTGGAGATCCCAAAAGACTTCAAATAAACCAGAAAAAGAAAACCCACTTGAGTCTGCTCGTGCTTAGAGGGAATTGTAATGTAAATGTAAATTGTAAATAATGTTTTGAGTTAATTAGTGATGGAAAAAAAACGAGGAAGTGTCTATTTTGTCATTTTTCTTCAATAAACTGCCATAAAGTTGGCTAATTTTTTCGTTTTTCTCATTTCTCGTGATCTTTTTATTGCCAGTAAAGGCACACAGAGACTTAAAGTGACATCATTCTGCCAACAGTAGTGTATCATTCCTCTGACTCAGTCTGAGCCCAAAGGAAACCCGATCCATTTAATTTAATTTCTTGAGCATTTTCACCTTTTGTTTGAATCTTTGACTTTATGTTTTGAGTTAATTAGTGATGGAAAAAAAACGAGAAAGTCACTCGAAAGTGTCTATTTTGTCATTTTTCTTCAATGAACTGCAATAAAGTTGGCTCATTTTTATCTCGTGATATTGTGAGTTAATTAGTGATGGAAAAAATCTGAGAAAGTCACTTGAAAGTGTCTATTTTGTCCTTATTCTTCAATAAACTGACATAAAGTTGGCTCATTTTTTCGTTTTTCTCATTTCTCGTGATCTTTTTATTGCCAGTAAAGGCACAAAGAGACATCATTCTGTCACCAGTAATGATTCATTCACTGCCTCTGACTCAGTCTGAGCCCAAAGTAAAAAGGATCCTGGCCCCAGAGAGCCCTATTCCCCCCCATATCTCTGTCTCACACCAGGGAGGTGGTGCTGTCGGGGTTGACTTTGGGCGGCCGGCTGCTCTTCCTCAGCTCCTGCAGCTGCTTGGCGGGTTTCCCGGAGGCCTCCTGGAAGCGGCGCTCCACCACGGGCAGCACGGCGTCGTGCAGGAAGCCGGCGTTCTGCAGGATGAAGGCCTTCTTGTCGGGGTCCTGCTCGCAGCGCAGGCCGTAGTCCACGTGCTGCGCGGCCACCAGGACGATCTCGCGCAGGGACTCCAGCAGAACCAGGTGCAGCTCGGGCTGGTACAGCCTCAGGCCCTCCTCCAGGAAGCCCAGGGCCTGCTTGGTGAAGGCCACCATGGTGTAGCTCAGGTTCACCCAGCAGTCGTCGCCCGTGTACTGCTGGAAGCTCACGCCGCACGCACGCATGTCCTCCTGCAGGGGGGGGGAAACGGGGGGTTTAGACGAGAAAAAGGAAAAAGATGGTTTCAAATGGAGAAACGGATGTCCCAAGAAAAAGAAAAGAGCATTTCAGAGAGATTTGTCTAACAAAACCTCCATAAATGTGTGTTTTTTTTTCTTTTTTTTATAAAAATATAAATAAATAAATTAATTAAAATTAATTAAAATTAATTAAAATAAATTAAATAAAATCTAACAATTTATCTTGATTTATCCTCAATAAATGTGTGGTTCTTTTTTTTTTTTTTATAAAAATAAAATAAATTAAAATAAATAAAAAAGTAAGTAAGTAAGTAAGTAAGTAAGTAAGTAAGTAAGTAAGTAAGTAAGTAAGTAAGTAAGTAAGTAAATAAATAAATAAATAAATAAATAAATAAATAAATGGGTGTTTTTGTCTCGGTGGACAAAAAGCTCATAGAAATACTCGTGTTTTTAATCCTAAAATAAAAACAATACGGCAAAATAAGCCACGGTCCGTCTCTTTTTTTAACTAGACATCAAGATTTTAGGTTGAATTTGTATTTAGATAGAATTTGTATTTAGTTAGTCCAATGTAGATTTAATAGAGACCCACCTTGAGTTTGTTCAGGGCCTCGGGGGTCATGAGGTTCATCCTCCTCCACATCTCCTCGGAGTTGCGGTGCTTGGTGGCCTCGATGATGATGTCCTTGTAGCTGAGCAGGGCGGTCCGGATGTCTTTGACCAGCAGCGACTGGAGGGTGAAGCTCAGGTCCAGGCCGATCTCCGTCAGCTGCTGGCAGTGCTCTTTGGCCACCTTCACGCACTCGGCCGCCGTGGACAGGCTCTCCTTGCTGTCGAACACCTGGGGAAGAATCATCAGGGCCTTTAATGGACCCTTAACTCATTGGCTGCCAAAGACGTCTATAGACGTGTTTTGTGTTTTTCAACAAGAGTGGCTGGGGGACGATTTGCTAAAGCTGGTCCGTAAATATCGGCTTCTAGACAGAGTATGTAGTAACAAATTGAGCCTCTAGGGGGCAGTGCCACTTTTGATGGGAGATGAGCATAGACTGTAGGCAAATAAGAAAAAGGGAACGGTTCTATGAGAGAACATGTCGCCGGTGAGACGCAAGTCAAGGAAGAACGGAATAAGGTAGAAACAATTTTTTTTTCCTGATGAAAGAAGAGAGTCTACTCTTTATTTTGGTGTGTTCGGTGTTTATATAGTCATAGCACAAACTATTCTGTGGCTCTTGAAAAATCAGTCAAAATGCTAAAAAAACTCTGGCAGTATGGGACTCTGTTCTGAAAATGGCTGGCAGTCAGTGAGTTAATGGACCCTTAACCCCTTGTGTGGTGTTCATATTGTTGTTACTCAGCCAGTGTTTGTGGGCCTGATGGACCCGTTGCATTTTGTGGCTTTTAGTGCCTAAAAATCAAACACTTTTATATTAACATACTTAACAGATGTTTACCGTATCTTAACTTCTCTCTCTCATCCAAAATCAATTCCAGGGCCCTCTGGGCAGAAATGAGCTTTTGGCCCTCTTGATCGGTTATAAGAAACCACTCTGCCAGTGTGGTCCCACCCCCAATTTTTATCAGACAGACAGAGGGTCAAATGTGGGAGAAAATTAGAGCAGACAAACAATGTTTGGGAACTGTTTCTTTTGTTTTTGTGCACCTGCAGTTCCCATACAAGGTTGCAGTCTGATCCCACAAAAGCATTAGCGTTAGCATTAGCATCTCTAACCCAGAGGTCTGTGTCCTAACCATTAAGTTGTTATCAGAGTAAATCCCTGTTCAACATGAGTCTGAAAACTAAGTAAGTAGATAAATAAGTTTAAACTTTAACACATGCTCTGATAGGCCTCCTAAAAGGCAGTTTTTCCTTCCCTGTGTCTCCTAGTGCTGCTCTGCTTGGTGGGAATTGTTGTTCTTCTGTAAATAACTTCAGAGTCTGTTTGGAAAGCTGGGAGATGTTGTCATTGTGAGTTGGTGCTATATCGATACAATTTCATTGAATTGTCCAAACCATGAAGTTGTTATCAGAGTAAATCCCTGTTCAACATGAGTCTGAGAACTAAGTAAGTAGAATAAGTAACTCTGATCCCACACGAGCATTAGCATTAGCATCTCCTAACCCACGGTTCTGTGTCCTAACCATTAAGTTGTTTTCAGAGTAAATCCCTGTTCAACATGAGTCTGACAACTAAGTAAGTAGATAAATAACTTTAAACTTTAACACATGCTCTGATAGGCCAGGATCTGGACATCCCCAATCTATATATTATGTCGCCCTCTGTGGTGATATGTAACTACCTGCTTGCTGAAAGCATCCACAAACGTGCTCATGGCCGACCGGGACCAGACCACGAAGGCGGAGTAGCAGCCGGTGTTCCCGGCGAAGTCCATCTTGAACTCCTTGGCCGTCTCCTGCAGGCTGGTGAAGAAGATGTTGCAGAGCTTGTGGATGTAGAGCAGCGTGGCGCCCTCGATGCGCAGCTGCCGGATGGCCGTGTGAACGGCGGCCGCCCGGTTCTTCAGGAACAGCTCGCAGGCTTTGGTGGACTGGCCTGAAACCCACAGAGAACAGGATAAACACACAGCTAAACGCTGACAAAAAGGCTAAAAGAACATCTGAAAAAATCTAAAGAAATTGGGCAGCAAAAGCATGAGAACATGCAGCTCTTATGAGATTCTGAAGTTGTTTTCTGAAGAAATTTAGAGATAATTAATCAAGTCCAAGTGGATAATCTGGAAAAAAAATGTATTTACATTATTATCTAAATCTTAACTTATTTCAGTCTATTTTTTTTCATTTTATTTTCATTAATTTATTGCATTGCGTTTATGTATTTTAGCTTTTAGTTTTTACCTTATTTTCTGCAACTCTGGTATCTGTACAGCACTTTGGTCAACTCCGTTTGTTTTAAATGTGCTTTAGAAATAAAGTTTGATTTGAGTTGAGTTGATAGTTGAGAGGAATGTTGAAAAAACAAGATGTTTCAAAGTCATATTTACAGAAGAGTGTGTCATAAAAATCCTTAAATTTATTGCTTTCAACTTTGGCAGATTTGCAGTAATTTGATGTCAGATTTATAAACAGATAAACTCTGCTGGCGTTTATGCACAGTTCTAAATCGGACTCCAACCCAGAACCCTCTGGTCCTGGTTCCCCCGGGCTTTATAAATACATTTTGAGTTGAGCTGAGTTAATAATTGAGAGGAATGTTGGAAAATCATGAAAAACTAGATAGTGCAAAATTCATATTTACAGAAGAGTGTGTCATAAAAAAAATCCTTCAATTTATTGCTTTGAACTTTGGCAAATTTGCTGTAACTAGACACCAACCCAGAACCCTCTGGTCCTGGTTTTTGCGGATAACGAGGCTTCTGCTTGTGTTTTGATGCAGGTTAGCCGCTGTGAGAAGTTCGGATACGGAGTGATGGTGACTCAGGTGGCAGCCACTGCTCCAGGAGTTGCTGCTCTGCAAGCTTCAGGTGCCCAAAACCCATCCATCCATCCATCCATCCATCCATCCATCCATCCATCAATCCATCCATCCATCCATCTATTTATCCATCCATCCATCCATCCATCCATCCATCCATCCATTATCACCCTGGACGGTCCCCAGTCCATCACAGGGACACACAGAGACATTCAACGACCAACAACCACACACACTCACACTAAGGGCAGTTTGGAGTCCAACAACCTCACATGCAGGTTTTTGGACGGTGGGAGGAAGCCTGAGAACCCGGAGAGAACCCACAGACACAGGAGAACATGCAGAACCACCCAGAAAGGTCCTGGTTCCCCCGGGGCTCCAACCCAGAACCCTCTGGTCCTGGTTCCCCCGGGACTCCAACCCAGAACCCTCTGTAACAAACCTAGCCTGATGAGCTGGGACACGGCCCTCCTGGTGGCCTTGGGCCCCCCCCCTCAGCGACCGGTCGGGGGACAGCTCGAACACCAGGACGTCGGTCAGCTGCCGGACCCGCTCCTCCACCTTGGCCCGGAGCTCCTTCACCCTGGGCCCGGCCGGCCGGTCCTTTAGGTGCTCGTTCAGCTTGTCCAGCAGGTCCACCGCGCCCTCGAAGTCCCTCTGGGCGATGCACACGTCCAGGTCCTCGGGCAGCTCCTGGATCCACTCCGGACTCAGGTCCACGCGCCCTTCGGACTCTTCCAGATCCTCGTTTTCGTCCTCGTCCACGTCAAAAGGATTGGTGGACACTTCGGTTCTCGCCGGAGACGTCGGGGGTTCTTCTTCTTTCTTGCGCTTGTCTTTGGACGCCTTGTTTTT